CATATGGTCATTGAAATTTCGGTCCTACATGACACTATGTGTACTTGCCTGTGTAGTTTTGCAGTTATGAACTTGTAATTTGCACCATATGCATAAACGACTATAGTCAATTAAGCACAGTTTGGATCATTATCACAAGATATTTAGATTTCGCTGAAGTTAAAAAAATTGCTAGTTATGAAGGTACCCAGCAAAAATAAGAAACCAGCATGAAAATATCCCATACCTTGTTTCTATTTGAGCCAGTGGCATTCACCAGGAGCTTTCCAGGTTTGATCACTTGACTGAATTTCTGCACTTCATCATCAAAGTCATCCAATGTCTGCAGATTTTTCCTATTATTGGTTGCCCTGGTTTTTGACAACTTTGGCTTCAACCCCTTCTCAGCCCTTTTTCCTTCATCCTTGCTCTTCTTTTTGGCAATTTCATGGTGCCCATTAGAAGGCCCACTCTTTGTCAATTTGGCTACTTCAGCACCCTGTTTTACTTTGTCTCCAACCAGTAAATTGCTAGATTTGCCCTCCTCATCATCCCTCTCATCACCGTCGTCTAATCCGAAATCTTTCATTGACAGCTTACTGTCCTTCTCTGCTTGTATCCTCCTTATCTCTTGATCTCTTCACAGTCAACATCATCAGCATCATGCTCATCGCCGTCATAGTGTAATGTCTTTCCGCTACCCCAATTGATTTTATCATCAAATTCAAATTCATCCGAACTGTCATCACCCGCTAAAATTTGTTGGATTGCCTTGTTCGCTCTCTTGATTCTTGCCATATATATTTTGCCCCATACCTCGTAACTATCTGCGCCCTTGTCGCCGTCCTTACCTCCTTCTCTGTCATCACTTCCATCGCCGTCCTTGCCTTCTTCACCATCATCAGTTTCATGGCCGGGAACACCCTCGAGATCGTTGACAGGCTGCACCGGATCCTCCTTCTCTGGGTGACTCGAGTCGTCGGCGTCGAGGGGGATGGCGTCCCGCTGCTTGGGGAAGGCGTCAATCTCGTCGTCGTCAGAGTCGTCGGACATCGCCGCCGCCTTGCTGGATCGCTTGGACTGCTGTGTGCCCGCCACGGGTGGCGGCCGTGTCGACCTCAGCCTCTTCCCCATGTCGGGTGGCGGCAGGCGTATCAAGGACTCGGGGTGGGAGGAAGCGCTGCGCAGAGGCGGAGAGGCTGGTTCAGGGTTAGGGTATCTCTAGCCCATCCCAATAGTGAAATATAGGGATTTTAGTTTTTTTTGGAGAAAGCGCCTCATTTCATTTAGTTTTCTGGTAAAAAAATAGCTTTTCATTGTCCAAAAATTTCTACACTAGCTATGGGCGCATTCATGGAGTGGTGATCGGCGCGCCAGCCGATTAGCCCGGTTGCTATAAAACCCACCCCAGTTGCAATCAAACCCTAGCCCACCCCAGTCAAACCCCATTCTCGTCGCCGTCCACCTGATTCTCCCTACCGCCCGAGTCGAGCTTAAGCTCTTAGTCACGGCAAGGAGAACTGCCATCACCGCTAGCCCCGATTTTCCCCATCCACGTTGTTGCTTGCCTCCTTGCCTCCCTACTCCATGTCTCCGTCCTCGAGCTTCACCACCGCCACCCCGAGGCCTTCCTCTGTCGCCGACCCCTTCCTTCGTCCTCGGGCATCACTGTCGGCCCCAGCACTGACCCCTTCATCCATCCTTGAGCACCACTGTCGTCCCCATCGCCAACCCCCTCCTCTGTCGTCAAGCACCGCTGCCGTCCCCATCGCTGCTCAATGCTGCCATGGCAAGTTGTCGCATGACTTGGTATGCGCAGCTCATACTGGGGCGGCGCACCCAAATCATGAAGAAGCAACACACTAGCGAGGCTCGATGAGCGGGGATCATTGCGATTGGCCTTCCTTCGAGCTCGGACAAGGACAAGGAGGGGTAAGCCCCGTGCTCGGATAAGATGAAGCCTTTTGATTGGGCCAAGGCATTGAACCCCGTTTGGCTGCCCGCATTGAATGAGGAGGTGGTTACATGCAGGGCTTTTGGTTGGCAACACTTAAGGGTTAAGGCCGTGATGATGCAATTACCCGGTGTTCGGTTGCTGATGACCTAATGTTGCCCCTTCTCAGTAGTGGTGACCTTATCAGAAACTACACTACAGGCGGTAGCAATTTAACATCATTTCAATCCTAACCACTAGATAAATGACAATTTGTCTTAATAGACCTAGATACTAACGAATATCAGTACCAAATTAATATGGATCAATGGGGGGTGGGAGGGTGGTTCATCAATGGCGATCAAGGGGGAAGATCGGCATTCTCCTCCTCCTTCTCTTCTTCTTTAGATCCTTTTGTAGTCCTTATTAGCCCACATTGCCTCGGCCCACTCCAATCTTTTGCTCTTCCAAGCTTCGTTATCATGTGCCTCCATACCATGGCCGAAGTCAATATCATCAGCCATCACATCATCTTCATCTGGCACATAATCATCAAGACCCCTCTCTAAGCTCCAGTTAGGAAGAATGCAACATGAAAAAATAAGCTTAATTTGGGTGAGAAAAAGGTGCAATGACTTCTGATCAAGAATCCTAGCTATATTATTCAAAGCACCAAATGCCCTCTCAACTATAACTTCGCGATTGAGTAGTTCGTTGATAGTATTAGATAGTTCTTGTAGAGAATTCATTAAGATGATACATGGTTCCCTTCAAGGTTGGAGAACCACATGTCTGACATGCATATCCAATATCTCCTAGGTAGAAATTACCACCTGGGATATTGATCCCATCAGATCGAGCCATGCTGCCAATCATGTTTGCATCATGGAATGGTCATTCCCAACCAACTAACACATATGTGAATTGAGATCAAAATCAACATTAACAAGCACACTCTGGCATGTGTAGTGATTTCTACCCCTGTATGATGTAGTCTGTGACCTCAACACTCTAGCAGTCACATGAATACCATCAATTGCTCTAATAGAATCCTGTGATGGCATGAACAAACTGTTATGGTTCCCTCTTCCTAACGTTTAAGCGTGACAAAAGAGGCACTTCTTATTTGAAGCATGTTCACAGCCTCTATATCGCAGTGGCGTACCTAGCGGGTGTGCCATGGCACACTGGAATTTTTGGACATATTTTTTTACCATGTAAAAATGAGCCAATTTTCAAGGCCCATCCAAGCTAATTGAAATAGATATCATTTTTTTAAGTGTGCGCATCCTACATTTTATTTCTAGATCCATCACTGCTGCATCGTTATGTTTATAGTTGTAGTTTTATTCTTCATCCTCACTCTATCTCAGGCTAAAATTGGATCATAGCTGATCACACTGGAATTTTTGGACATATTTTTTTACCATGTAAAAATTGGATCATGGCTGATCATAGTTGTGATTCAGACTTGAATAATGTTGGTACACACGAACATAAATTGGATCTCGTGTGTACCAACATTATTCAAGTCTGAATCACAACTATGAGTGCAGATGCTTGAACTAGTAGCATCATCCGTTCATTCCTATTGAAATCAATGTTGTTCTTTTTAGAAAAGAAGGAATGCCCCCGGCCTCTGCATCAGAATGACGTGTACAACCATTTATTAAAAACATGTCTAAAAAGTCTCAGTACCAGAACAAACTCTCTCGGAGCTGAAAATTAATAAAAAGTAAAGACAGCCACAACAGGTGAAAATTGATCCTAAACCGAACAATGGAAGGATCAAGGATGGTTGTATGGTGCTTATCTCCATAGGAGACGGCTAGGACGAGACGAAGGCATCGATGAAGGGGACGAGTAGCTGACGAAGAGCAACATGTCCCGATGCCAGAGATCTTGGTCCACAATACCGTCGTTTCCAAGAACGAAGGTTGAGTTTGTCCTCTAGCTAGAGGTGAACGAATAAAAGAGTGTGAAACAACATATCTCACGCCATATAACGGGTACATATTTTCTTCTCCCGCCAACTCCTTGCGTGTTCCCTGCGTACGTTCGTCGTTTCCATCTTGCACTCTAGGGTATGAGGTGTATAAATCGGCACCTCACGTGAGCAACCAACCAAACGAGCTACTTTTGTATCTACTTGGCATGTTTGAAGTTTGTGCGAGCAACCAAATTAACACGCCCTACATTTGTGTAGTGCATCAGCGGAAAAGTGTTGGGAGGTCAAAAGTTCTCACTTGGTGGAGCAGGTCATATAGTTTCAAAATCTGAACAGACCAGCCAAGCTCAGATTCCATCCTTCCAGGCATGCATTAATCGTGCTGCCATCTCGGTAAATTTTCAATCATCCACGGTGAAAAACAGTAACAACACTGGGCGAGTAAAAGTCGTCTCCGGCACTGGCTTCTGTACCGGGACGAGGACAAACAGCCGACACTGGATCCCACGCCTTTCCACTCGGAGCTTCACTCCGGTGCCGGCCACGGGAACTCGCACCGCAACAGGCCGAGCAAAGCCATCAACTCCGCCATTGATTGATTGTAGCACAGTTTCAGTCCAGTGACTCAGCGAGGGCGGTGGGCGAAATAAATCAATCCCTGACGCGTCACATTCAGTTCGTACCGCTTTCAGGAGAGGAGTAACTGAAAGCGAACGCAGCAAGGCCCCATCCCATCGCGCCCGCTGTCTCGCACCGACGCGCATCGAAACTATGCTCACACACAACACACCACTCTTGCTCGCAAATATTCTTAGCTGTAATTTTACCCATAGAAAACAGTAACTAACAAGGAAATTACTGGACAAACTTTACTGATGCGTCATGGTTCATTATTACAGCACAGCGACATTTTTACCGGCCGGCATACCAGTAGCTAGGCCAGCATTATGCACATCAACATATAGTCGGAATCGGATCATGCACCAGACGCTACAGATCATGGTTTACACGCTTATAAGATATACTAGTAGTGATCCGCGACATGGTACGACATGATAGATAGGGATGCATGAAGCTCAGGCATATGGTGTGTAGACGCCATGGGCGGTGGAGGATCGATGCCTGGAGAGTGGTGGCGGATCATGGGCACTTGGGCCTCTTGCGCGCGCCGTGGCCGGTGGTCTTGTCGCGGTAGCAGGGGCACTCGTCCTTGTTGCCGGCGGTCCCCGACGGCACGCAGTTGCACTCGGCGCAGCATATCCCGCAGTACTTGAGGCAGTCGTCGTGTCGGCTCGCCTTGGAGCACCTCACCCCGCACTTGCCGTCGCAGAACGCTGATCAAAAGCACACCCACCGCCAAAGTTAGCATAGATGGCAGCGAACACGTACAGCGAACGAACAAAAGATTACTGACAGACAGGCGCATGAGCAGAAGCAAATGAAAGTGAAATGGTTGTGACTTGAACTGACCTGACCCAGCCATGGCGGCACGGAGGGACGAGGCTGCTAGGAAGACGAGGAGGAGAAGGAGAGCCAGAGTGGTGGTGCGAAGCTTCTTCATCGTGGTGTTCTTGGTTGCTTCGCTCTGGCAGAGCCCTCCTGCTGGTTGGTGTGAGCTTGACGATAGGAGGAGGCTGGAGGAGTGAGTTGGTACCTGTGTCTTGGGCCTGTGGGGTTATTTATAGGGCCCAAAAGCTTGACAGATTTCAAGATGGTCCCAACTAGAGTATTTTGGACCGTTCATAATTTTTAATCCAAGGGTCGAGAATAAACGCCACGAGAGGCAATAGGTTACTGACCGCTTATATTTGGTAAGTATCGGAAAAAGGAAAATGGTAAAAGTATCACTACCATATGTTAGAGCGTCTGAGGAAAAGGAAATTATTGCATTTATAATTAATTTACTGTATGTGATTAAAACGGAGGAGAAGGAAAGTATCGCACTCCTAATTTATGCGATTAAAGCCATTAAATGCCACAGTTTACATGAAAATATTACAATGCCCGAGAATAACATGACATGAGATAATTGGAATATTTTTCTTCTTTCTATAATGTACTAGTAGTAATAAGTTAAAAAACACTTTTATGGTTAAGTAAAATGACGAACTTCATAAAACAAACGAGGCAACCATCATAGTGGTTAGCATGGGTAAGTAAAATGGCGAACTCTATAAAACAAAAGAGACATGGTTAAGTAGAACAACATGACACGAGATTAATTATTTTTTGCTGCGCGTGACACGGGATTAGATTGGATGGGAGATTTCCCCCCATGATTTTCTCTTCTGCCGATTCGGTGGGAGACGTACCGGTTGCAGCTTGTTAATTTCACATGCTAATTATTTGACCCACCATTTGATGATATTAACGTCTACTCTTACCCCTCCCTGTGGTATGAGGGATCATGTTAAAACTGCTCTCAGAATTCAGTGAGCTTGCGACTTCCGCTGCGACAGCTGACGCTACTGCCAGTATCAGGCGGACGAGGCGGCCCATGAGGTTTATCAGTTTATGGGCCCGACTCTGACGATGACGACGAGGTTGGTAGCTCTGCGACGATCACCGCACGACACCACAACGACGACACCGGCACGTTTGTGGCCCCGCCGACAACAAGGAAGAATAGTGTGTGGTAGGTCGCTGACACTCGGATCCCAAGAAGGCCATTGGTCCTTCCCTCCCGCTGGAGTTAAGCTTGGCGGCCTGATCATCATCGCCCGATTAGCCGCTCAGGTTGCGGAGGCAGAACTGGAGATTGCGAAGGCGGGAGCTAGAGCTTCACTTTGCGGGGCTCACGGCTGGACATGGGAAACGGGCGCCAACAATCATTGATTAGGTTTAGAGTAGGATTTAGTTAAAAGTTGTCTGAAATGTAATGAACTTCGTTTGATTTATATGAAAATCAGACGATTTGAATGAATTTCGTTCAGTTATTTTAAAATCTTTTAAAAATATACAATAAGCATTAGATGGTTGTCTCCCGTATCCGTGTTTACGGACTGGTCCGATCCACAGACAAATACAGTGTCCATTACAAGTCAGTTTTGAAGATACCCTAATAAAGCATAGATAATGGCTCCGGTACGTACAAATAAAAGAAGTTACCGAAAGGAGCATGATATCCCTGCAAGGCAGGTAAGCATGGACTCACTCATTGGTCACCTGTTGGCTGTTAAGCACCGGCGCCACGCAGCTGTAAGGCCAACTCCAACCGGCCGTTTCAAACGGACACCTAGGAATGGCTGTTTTGCCCATGGGTATGGGTACCCACGGGTACCCTACCCGAAAATAATAGGTATGTGCAAGATTGAAGAGATTTTGTGTCCATGGATAATGGATATCCATACCCACAAAATATATGGGTATGGCATGGGTATGAAATTGTGCCCATGGATAACCCAATGGATACCTATAAAATATTAATAAATCAAAATAACTCCTATGATATGTGGGGTCAACATCCAACTCCTATGACCCAACTCTAAATCTTGTATCCCCTAAACCGACCATAACTCATAGGCCCACATGCATTTGCTCTCTGCTCCTCCTACGTCCTATGTGTCTCCTCAAAACGATGAAATCTTGACTTATCGTCATCGGACTCCTATTCATCTTTCGATCAACGATCCCTGATTCCCACCACTACCTCCCACAACATCATGCTTTCCACCTACCATTGCTCATACTCACTTGATTCCTCCAAGAGGCCACCCACCAGAGGAGTCTGCATCAGCACTATACTGCTTTGCCCATCGCCACTTGAATTTTAGACTCATTTTTCTACTTTTAAATTTTTAAATGTCATACATTGTACCCAATGAATACCCATTGGGCATAGGATATCCAATGGGTTTGGGCATGGGTATCAATTTATGCCCATGAGTATTGAAGTGGGTGAGTATAGAAGGTTTTTGTGGGTATGGGTTTGGGCAGAAGGAGGTTGTACCCACCCATACCGTACCCATTGCCATCCCTACAATATGTCAACCTTTTATTTGTTTGGGTTGTCAAGCCGGCCGGCGTCTGCTTCATGCCCGTGTTCTTTTGTTTGAGTTGTTAATTTGGCCTGTGTCTGCTTTGTCCAACAGACCGACCCATTTGGATTTTTTTTCAAGAAACACATTTTTATCATCAAACATAGCAAGTAGGTAGAAAAATAAATCTAGCATTTTCGTATAGTATCATATGTCATGCCGACATACAACATTGTACCAAAAAGATCACACGAGCCCCGGGTTCCGCGACCATAGTTCATGCATCTCGGCCCTAGTTCATAAAATAAAAAATAACCACGCGTCTCGGTCTTAGATGAACTTTTGCTTCACCTTAAACCAAGTCTTATTTTTTGGGGGTCATTTTTCTCGTTTCGGCCGCCATGATCTCCACTTCCTTGGAGATTAGCGCAAGCTCCACCTCCTTGGCTCTTGACTTGGCATTGGTCTCAACGATTTCGAGCTTCTTCTTTTGTATGTCAAAGAAGGTCTCCAGCGCCTCCTCATTGTCTTGCCGCTTCCTCTCTTCCCTCTTCTCATTTGACACCTCATTTTGGGTCATGAACCTCTTCAAAGTTTATTGCAAGACAGAGTGTCGAAGCATTATGCTTTGCATCCACTTTGGAATTGGTCTCCCCCCTTGATCTCTTCTCACTTTCACTTGGGTCGACGACCAATGAGGCCCTCTCATTTCTTTTTGGGCGGCATATTGCTCCTTAAACTTTGGGCAATTGTGGATTTTTCTCCAACAATGGCTCAAGGTGAATGGTTTGCCCCATGTTGGACCTTGAAGGTATCAAAAACTTGAAACACCTACATATAGAGATGAAACCAACAAAATACATTCATATGCATAGAAGGATGATATGTGCATGTATGAACAAGGAAATCAAATGTATTCCATGTCTTTGACGCCAATGCCACTCACATGCCGGACGACAACATTCTCATGGGAGCCACAAAACTTGTTGCATTTTAATTGGGTAAAGCCTCACCTCTTTTGAATTGACACGTCAGTCCGGTTACTCTTAAATTTCACTTTCCAAAAGGAAACAAAAACAGAACAAGGAAATTACTGGACAGACTCTACTAATGCATGATAGTTTATTATTACAGCACAAGCACATTTTGACCGTCATACCAGTAGGCCAGCATTATGCACATCAACATATAGTCGAATCATGCACCAGGCGCTCTAGATCGTGATTTACACGCATATAATATGTAGTAGTGATCCGCGACATGGTGCGACATGATAGATAGGGATGCATGAGGTTGAGGTACATGCGTAGGCGCCATGGGCGGTGTAGGATGGCTGGAGGGTGGCGTCGGATCATGGGCACTTGGGCCTCTTGCGCGCCCCTTGGCCGGTGGTCTTGTCGCGGTAGCAGGGGCACTCGTCCTTGTTGCCGGCCGTCCCCGATGGCACGCAGTTGCACTCGGCGCAGCATATCCCACAGTATTTGAGGCAGTCGTCGTGCCGGCTCGCCTTGGAGCACCTCACCCCGCACTTGCCGTCGCAGAACGCTGCGCAAAAGCACATCCACCAGTCACCACGGTTAACATCAACACAGGGAGGGACCGAAGAACTTCAGCATAATGGCGATACATACAACATCAACACATCACTGAACTGACCTGATCCAGCCATGGCGGCACGCAGAGACGAGGATGCCAAGAGGAGGAAGAGGAGGAGAGCCACAGTGGCGGCGGTGGGGCGAAGCTTCATGGCGATGTGCTCAGGATGTGCTTGAGGTTCTTGGCTCTGGCAGAGCGCTGCTGCCTGCTGGTTGGTGTGCGCTTGAGGGTAGGGGGCTGGAGGAATGAGTTGGTACCAGTGTCTTGGGGCATTTGGGGCTATTTATAGGGCCCAAAAGCTTGACAGATCTTGAAATGGTCACAACTATTTTGGACCGTTCATAATTTTTAATCCAAGGGTAAAGAATGGACGCCACGAGAGGTAATAGGTTACTGACTGCTTATATTTGGTAAGTATCAGAAAAAGGAAAATGGTAAAAATATCACTACCATATATTAGAGCGTCTGAGGAAAAGGAAACTGTTGCATTTCTAATTTATGTGATTAAAACGGAGAAGGAGGAACTTATTGCGTGCGTAACTTACTCCCATGTGATTAAAGCCATTAAATACCACAGTTTACATGAAAATGTTATAATGGCAGAGAATAACATGACATGAGATTAATTTGGAATAATTTCGTTCTTTCTATAACGTACTAGTAATAGTTAAAAAAGGAACACCTCTATGGTTAAGTAAAATGACGAACACCATAGAACAAACGAGACAACCATCATAGTGATTAGCATGGTTAAGTAAAATGACAAACTTCATAAAACTAAAGGAACATGGTTAAGCAGAACAACATGACACGAAATTAATTATTTTTTTGCTGCAGCTGACACGGGATTAAACTGGATGAGAGATTCGGAAGAAGAGATGTTTTTTCCATGATTTTCTCTTCTGCCGATTTGGTGAGAGATTTCATATTTGGGAGAAGTGTTTTATCATCAGCCCGATGTAAGAGGTGACCGGTTGCAGCCTTCTTAATTTTTTTTCTGCGAATACGCAAAAGTGCGTATCATTTCATTGATAG